ATAAATAATTCATACTCTGTGAATATGTCATAGACCATATCATAGCATTGGCGGAAGGAGGAAGCGTGTATTTTTAAATTAAAATTACAAAAGCCTAATTTTAACTTCAACACCTGAAGGAAAATTCGCTAATTTTCACACGAAATAATGAGAAATACCGTCTGATAATGACGGCATGGATAATGACGCGGGCGGGAAAAGGAAACCGCCAAAGTGTAGTCAAGAACTACAGCAGGAACATGATGATTTTTTAAGCCATGCTATAAATTAAATTATAAGAGTTTTCCTGAGTCAATGGGAATGGCTGAATACACGCTTTTTATTGAAAGTCGTATAGAAGGAGTTAAACTAGGCAATACGAATCCCTTAATGTTGGTGGGAATTTTCAAAAACGAAATCAAAGGAGTCACACTAATATAAGAAGAATAAACGCTTCTAAAGTAGAGGTGGTGGTTGAAATTAAGAATTGTTTGGCAGGAATTTGGGGGAGTAAGGTGTTTTATTTGGTAGAGGTTTGGTCCCCGATTGTGATAATACCACTTACATTAAAAGGTAATGCACAGTTCTTGAGAAAAATCAAAAAAACATCCCATAGAACTAACCTCAAAATGATAACTCAAAATGAATTAAGGGGGTGGTAGGTGGTGGAGAGGGAGGCGAGAGAGTTGTAGAGTCCCCCCCCCCCCACTTCCACATCCTGCCCGGCATGCTTAGTTTTTAAAAATCTAATTTTGAGGTTATGTTTTTTAATGTTTTTGACTATAAACCTGATTTATGGGTGGAGATAGTTAGGGTAGGGAAGCACCACGTAGTGCAGTCGAGGGAAACTCGGTCGGTCTCTGTCCACGGGGTGCGGGGCGTCCTACTTCTGAGTGGTTTACAAAAAAAAATAACCACGAAGGGAATGGCGGGGTCTATTCGCTCGCTCACTCGACCCCGCCATCCCCTTCTAACCTGTCCGAGACGGGGTGCCCTAAGTCCCGAGTTCGCTTCGCTCGCTCTTGCACTCAACAAAACACCAATATATTACCTTTTTAATTACTTTAAATTATAAACATAATATATAATACAATAATAAGCACTACGGCTCGCACAGGTCCCTGCGATTTGCTACGACGGGCTGCCCTTCTTCCGCGCCTACGGCTTTATAAAACCACTTTAGAAGTAGGGCAGACAACACTACGTGGATTCGAGGTGTACTGATTTAATTTTAGTACCGATTCGATCAGATCAGATATCTTTAAAGTCAGGTTGCCTTTGCTCCCGCCACAGCCACAAAATTCTTTCACAGCCTTTTCTCCAGCTTTCACAGTAATATCGTATAATTTTTTTTCTCAGAAGGACTAGAACCCATAGCCGTAAAGTCATTTAATAATAAAAAATGTATCATTATCCATACTTTATGCATTTCAGGTCATAATATTTATTATTTAGATAACGGTGCATTACCTTTTAATGTGAGTGGTATTATTATAATCGGGGACCAAGCCTCTACCAAATAAAACACCTTACTAACCTAAATTCCTGTCAAACGATTCTAAATCCAACTCACCCCGGGTTGGATTTAGAATCGTTTGACAGGTGTTTGCGCGGGCGATTAACGCCAACGACTTTTTGAAAAATGAAAGCTTCTTAGAGAAGAATGATTACAAGACATTTATTAAGGCAAGGGCGGTGGAATCAATCGGGATACTCGGGTATTTTACCATCAGCGTAAGTAATAAAGAGATGTTTAAAAAACTGTCATCGAAATATGAGGTCATCGCAGTGCGTCGTTTCAAAAAAAAAGTAATTAGACAGATAACAAGCCTTTCAGTTTTGTGAGTGTACTAGTCTTCTAGTCTAGTCTCGTCAACTTACCTGAGTTTGTACATCTAGATTTATTCCAATATAAGTTGCATCAGTATATTGCGCCGCTTTTACAATGTTTTATATGCTTTAAATTTAATCACGGAGCGAAAATTTGTAACACCGTTGCACTGATTTGATTGTAAACTGACTACCGTCATTTGTGGCGACTATGTGCCAGTTAGTTATGGTTTTTTTGCAACTTTCGTTTATACTCTGTGGCAACACTAAATGTCATTCGACATTTGTGTGGAGGTGATAGGTCGAGATTTCGTGTCGAGCATTCATGATATTTTCTTAACGATATTACTCACTGGTTTGTATTCGAATATACAGTCGTTTAATATCAAGCAATAAGCGGTTGTCTGATCCGGTATTTCTTGGTCTGTTTCGATTTCAACTCTCACATCGATCGAACCTTTTAAAGTTTCGTGTTGTCTTGAACAATCAATTACAAGTAATGAAGCCACGTCTCTGAACTCCTTTAAACCCATCAACGGCTCTGACCGGCGTCTATGATACGACTGTTGAAATCTCGCAAACTGATCGTATAATAAAGTAAACTTATCATCTGAAAAACTGACATTCAGCCCCTCATAAGGATAATATGATGAATGTAAAAGACTCTTACATCTCGTACGTAACAATGACCAAACTATGCCATTGATAATTTCGCGTTATGTTTGTGGTTGGTTTGTAAGGCAATGATCACAAATCGTGGTTTCTCTATTTGCGATGAAGTTTTTGTAGACCAAGTATGTTTACGTGTTTTGGGTAGCAATGGATACTCATATAAATTCCAGGAACGAAATTCCAATGGAATAACTCTATCCTTCTCTAAATGTTTTAATAGGCTGATTCTTTCACGATCTGATACTTTGATGTGGAACTCGCCAAACAATTTTATGTATTATAATATCTTCTACAACTTCACCTGTATTTAACTTGATCGCATTAAGATTTGTATTGCTTCGTAGTAATACTAACTCATGTTTACAATTAATTATAATTTTTTCATAATCTTCTGCAAATCTTAATATCTTGTTCAATGTTATAGACGCGGAAAACGCTCCACCACTAGTATTGCTGGTTCCGCCAGTTGACCAGCCCCAAACTCGAGCACATTTGGATTTATTTTCATTTAAGGATAGGTAAGATTTTGTTGTAGTAGTGACACCAGCATTCTTAATTTTATCTATTTCTACTCCATTAAGTTTATATCGTATGTCTTGAAAAAGAAATAGCACGGGATTATTGACAAAATGTACGTTTGATACCTTTTCTTTTGTGGTACTGTTATAAACGTTCACCTTTTCCTCGATATATAAACTACTGAGTGAGGATAGTACGTACAGGTCTTGCTGATTAATAGGAATACGTATTTCATCATTCTTGTTAAAACTAGTTACATATGGTTTGTATGAATAATACTCAAAACTTTCAATGCTGTTATCGTATGATTTTGTTGAGATACGTTTAAAATATTCATTTTATCAATCCAAGTAACTTTAATCAATTTTCAATAACTTTATATTGATAGCAGTTTCTAGGTATTTCAATTATTCGATAACCAGGTGGTACATTAGGTGCAAATTCATAAATTATGTGGCTTGCTTTCCCGTTGACAAATGAACCACTAACTACATCGCATTCAATCCGCACGATGGTTGTCGGTAGAATACTGACAGGATAATTGATTCAGTACTTATATTTGCTTTTATTGTTTCCATACCAAAGCCTAAAATTTTACCCAGTGATTCGCTTCTATTAAAGTGCACATCTTCAGAGCAAAAAATATTTGTTTTCAATGTATTATTGTTACAAGTTAGTTTCAGGACAGTGTTCTTAATATTATTTTTTAGATAATTACAAATATCTTGAAGCTCGTAAGACCCTTCAGGAATTTCGATCATTTCTTTTTCACCGTAATAAAATTTATTGTTTCTTTCATCTATATTGGGAATAGAATTGAAAGTTGAAAAATACGATAGGCCACATTCGTGGTCTCCTCGTAGTTCTATTGTCGGTGAATAGTTCGTTGATAAAGAGACTCCTGTCCCAGTTATAGACACAGTGCAAGACATTTTTATACTGATACGTTTATTTATTTCATACACTATATAAATGCTTTTTCCAGTAATTCCTTAAAAATTTTAGACAAAGATGTCCACAGTTTGTAGCATCAAACGCTTGATGTCGCGCATAATTATAGTTAATAGGTAAGTTATGCATATGTGGCCGTGAAAGGAAAAGGGGGGATCTCCCGCCGGGCAAGGTGTTATGCCCGGGGAGCGGCCGACACTCCGAGTGATAGTTCGGAGAAGTTCTATATATACTGTTTATGATTCGGAATGTTGATATCGCGATTTAGGCTTCGGTGTGTTTCGCTTGTAGTGCGACGACAGCGCCGCTACATCACCCCCTGCTCAGACCGGAGGTCGATAGTGCAGCCTCGTTGCCGACGAATGTGCAAGTGCCAGGAGATTGCCTTGTAGTCTGCGGTGAGTCGAGAAGAAGGCAAGTAATCTGCGAGAGTGCCGTGAAGCAGAGGCAAGCAGTAAGGCTCAGAGCCGTGCCGAACACTGTATGGCGCAGAGTAGCTTGAAGGAACAGGAAGCATTATTATTCCAGTGCTGCGATGAACCTTGTGAAGCTAGATGGCTTGCAGGATATGAAGACTGCAGTTTATATCTGCTCGGGAGCGAATGGGTGGGGTATTCTATGACGATGATGAAGCTTGAAGTTTCCGAAGGTTGTTTGGTTGCGTGTTCAGATCACGTCGGTTAGTCACCACTGTGGCCGTGGTAAGAAAGGGGGAGATCTCCCGCCGGGCAAGGTGTTCTGCCCGGGGAGCGGCTAACACTCCATGTGATAGTTCGGAGAAGTTCTATATATACTGTTTATGATTCGGAATGTTGATAGCGCGATTTAGGCTTCGGTGTGTTTCGCTTGTAGTGCGACGACAGCGCCGCTACACATATATTTAATTAATGAGGGTTTTCTGAAATGTTCCCCGTGAGATGGCAGCGCTGTAGTGTCAGGTCCAACTACCTGTCAAAACACTTACACGATTTATATTTTTCGATCATTTTTTTGGTTTATTTATCCTTAAAAACGTTACAAACAGAATATTGTTTTCCAAAATGCCACAGTGTTGTGCAGTGCCTATGTGTGCAAATAAAAAAAGGAGGGCATAAGTTCCCTACAGAAGATAAAAACCGATTAAAACAGTGGCTTGTAGCCATTCGCAGAGATAAATTTACTCCAACGAAAAATAGCCTCGTTTGCAAAAGCCACTTCACAAAGGATGATTACCAGCTACCGAAGGACTCAGTATTAGAAAAACGTAAGAATATTTTGTACTTATTTATAATGATAAGCTTCAGTTAAGTCACCTTGATTATATCTGTGCGCGACTAACCTTCAATGATGTAGTGTAAACGTTTTTTAGTACTTGCCTTATCAAAAATGATTTCATTATGACATTATATTTATTGAATTATTATTCCAGCCAGGCCTGTGTTGAAAAAATGTGCAGTGCCAAGTCGATTCCCATGGATTGACCAAAATTCTAGTTTGCATCAAAAAAAGAAGGAGCGGCATCAAAGGCGTTTGGCGCGAAATGAAAGGAAAATTAGTGTCCAAGTACACATAAACAATGAAAAAGAGAAGGATGACACCTTCCTCATGGAAACTACAAACTTTTTCGAAGTAGAAATTGAATTCGAGAAGAAACAGAATGATGTTGGTATCCAATGTGATTTATGTGGAAGTGATAATCTCAAAACACTTAAAGAATGTCTTCAAAATGAAAATAAAAATAAAAAATCTTCAATTGCAAATGTGCTAGATATAACCAATGCGGCCGAAGTACAGTTTTATACTGGTTTCCAAGATTATGAACATATCAAATTCATATTTAGTATTTTTGGAGATGAAGTAAATTGTTTAAAATATTATCCTCAACTGAAAACATTGAAGGTGCCGTTTCTAAACCCTTGTGATCAATTCCTTCTAGTGTTAATTAAATTACGCCGGAACATGCTATTTACAGAACTCGCCTTTCGATCGAAGATTAATAAAACGGTACTAAGTAACATTTTCATAACATGGATCAATTACTTATATTGTAAATTGAAAGAGTTAAATGTTTGGGTGCCAAAACAATGCATAGATAAAAATATGAAATACTATGGCAAGATTAATCCATGCACTGTGATAGTAGATTGCACGGAAATAAAAATAGAGAAGCCCAAAAATCCACTTACACAACAGCTTACATATTCCACTTACAAATCAGCAAATACTCTAAAAGTTTTAATTGGGATTTCAGCATCAGGCTGCGTTACATTTGTATCCGATGCATATGGTGGATCTACGAGTGATCGTGAATTGTTTGAAAAATGTGGACTTATTGATAAACTTGAACCTAATGATATCATTTTTAGTGACCGTGGCTTTAATGTACAAGACCTAGTGTGCCATAAAGATGTTACAGTTAATGTGCCAGAATTTTTAAAAAATACTGATGGACAATTTGAGACTTCTCAACTGACAAGGTCAAAAAATATATCTTCAGAACGGATACACGTTGAAAGGGTCATTGGTTTGGCTAAAACTTTTAAGATCTTAAGCGGCAAGTTGGATTCAAAATTGGTGCCTTTAGCAGATAGAATAATATTTGTATGTTTTATGTTAACCAATTTCAAAAATAATATTATAAAGTAAAATATGTTTTTTTCAATTTTATTTAATTGATGTCGCTTTTAACAGTACTGTATTAAACATACTTTATTAAATAATAACAAGAATACAAAATTAAACTTTGTTCTAATTTCTATCACATAGAATCTTACAATATACTATAAAAATATATTAACAATCATACATATTTTTTGCTATCTTTGGCAACATAAATTGAAAAAAGAAAGCTTTTACTCGAGGGATTATAATATTTTGTATAAATGAATCATTTTTTTTAACATTTATTATTTTTTCATCAACATTAGTCCATATAAATAAATCACAACAATCTCTTCCTGTGACAAGTAACTGCGTTTGGATTTGGTAATAATAGTTGCTTGTTTCTTTCAGTTGCAAATCATGCTCTAAATGGAAATAATTGTTGGATCCAATCATTTCATCCTTTATGGAATATGGACATTTAACTTCTAAAATTTTGTTATCTCCAATTAATCCATCAGGAGAAGCGCCAATGAAAGGGTACTGCACAGAAACATATAAACCACAGCGTTCTACTTTTTTTCCAGTTTTCCCCTCATATGCTTCAATTGCTGTGGTTTCCATAGACTTGCCCCATTCTAAGGCCGTGCTTACTATTTTCTTATTACATATAAGGCTTTGTGCATACTTTTCTTGGTCCTTTTTAGCAGTAAATTTACAAATCTCACCGACTCTTGAAGCAGTCACTCGAAAAGATCGTTCTGTATGCCATAACTTTGTCTTCGTCTGATTTTTAGTTTTCTTTTCAATTTCCTTTGCTGAGTCAGGTGTAACCTGTTAGGGGCAAAGGATAAGGAAAGTATGAAAGTATAAACCTAAACAAACATCTACAATCCCTATGCAAGTGCAATTAATATTGATGATTACATAATATACTAAATAATAAAAAAATATAGTAGCTACAACTTCTCATGATTCACCACCTCGCTTGCTACAGTACAGTCAATAAGATTGTACAAGTCGTAGCTACTATAATAAATAAATTCATCTGGAATAAATGGCTTACAGATATTTTATTAAGAATAAGTTGATGATGTAAAGGAAAAGGTAGGTAATCATGGTCATGTATCACATCTTGCATGTTTGCACTGTCCAAAATTCCACATAATCCTATTCTTTTTTGTGACAATGAGCAGTAGTTAATGACTTTATTTCTAACTGTTGTAGCCCATTCTTTTCCCTGACTGATAAAGGACTGTGGTCTTGGATCATAGCACACACTTCTTTTCTTTTTTTTGCAAACATTATATTCTGCTATTTCATATGAAAGGTTCTCTGCTTTTTTCGGCGAAACATCAAGTTTATTTTTTTTAGGTACATGCCATACTTGTTTTTTTTGTGTTGGAGTCATTTTAATTAACCATATATTCTGCTCTCGGAATTTGAGTATAGCATAGCACAAAACTGACACATGCTTGCAAATGGCTTTTGGTCCTTTCCCTGCTACACATTCACACACCGATTGTATAATAGATCCACTTCCATTACATATGGCAATGGAAGCAAAATAAGTGAGGGCTTTTGTATTTTCAGAATGGACTTGACCTTTGAAAAATATATGTGTACTAGTATTTGCGGTCACTAATGCGAGTAGGTAGTTATTTTGCAGCATATTATAACCTCTTCTGTGCACTGCAGAATAATCTGACATTCCTATGCCGTCTTTATACAATTCAAGGAAATACGTATTTATGTTAATAATGTCAAAATTGGGTAAAACTGTTTTTGAATCTACACTTTTGTATAACTTTTCTTCTGGCCATTCTATTACATAATTAATCTCACTTAAGAGATGAGAATTATCATTTTCATTTGATTTGAAGTTGTTGTTTCTGTCATAGTCATTTAGCCTGGAATATATAATATACATTAATCAACAACAACTCACTAAAACACAAATAACTTCAATTTAGTAGTTAAAAAAAAAACAATCAAATTGTGGAAACAAACAGAAGTAGATTATGTTTACCTTTCAATGAGCTTTTCTTTAGTACCAGTGACTTTTGCGCCTCTCTTTTTTGAGCTCAATTTTCAGTTCGGCAACCTTTCTTTGGCCGTAATCCATAATAAAATCAATAACTCTTCCAAATACATAAAATTTCACTAAAAAAAAATAATACGTTCGGTAGGAATCTGTGCTATCTGACAGCTGTTTGGACCTGACGCATACGAAGCACCGCCTGGCGGCAAAAAAAGTATCGGAAACCCTGATTCTAACGGGGGCTTTAAATTACCAAAACTATCATAATATTCTACGTATTTATTGTGCTTTACAAAGGCTACCCAACGCGTTCCAGGATTTCTGTAGCTATCCAAATTCAGTATTCCGCATTCTATCTTTCTCGGTTTCAAAGGTAATTTATTTCTCATGAAAACGCCGCGAAAGTATGGAATGTCACTTCTAATATGTCTAAATTAATGAGCGCCCGTCTGGGTAGCCGTCTAATTAGTTTTTTGAGGGGTTAAGATATAAACCTGCTCCTTGTTTATGAGGTTTAATCCTTTTCCTAGAGCAACGGCTTCCATCATTCTGTTGTGTCTTTCAGATTCCTGAAGACTATTGCGCTGCTTTTGAATCATTAATATCTTTTGCTATACCCGCTGCTCCACCAGCTAATGATCCTAAAGCTGACAATCCTGCAAATATGGGAATAAGGGGTAAAAGTCCTCCACACTTTGGAAGAGGAATACAACGAGGTAAACTTATTCCTTTTTTATTACTAAATATGTTCTTTGCAGCTGTATAGGCATATTTTATAGCCGAGTCTTTAGATTTTAGTTTTTTCAACTGAGACTGTATTTTTTTATCCCCTTCTTAAATGCTTTTATACCGCTCCCCGCTCGGATTTTCGCTTTCATCGCATTTTTGACTATCCATGAGGCAATTTTTTCTCCTTTCCTAGCATCTTCTGATTTCAACCTCCACTTAGCCATTTTCAAAAGTTCTAAATCCGCTTTTTGTCGAGCGCCCGAATCTTAATTAGTGTAAGCAATATCAGGGAGCATGCACGCTTTATCCAATTTGTTTATCCCACGATGGCCTTTGAGTGACTGTTTTTGAAGTTTCGTTCCGGGACCGCAAAGTTGATAGCCGGGTAAATTGTCTATTACTTTATTAATTATACTACTGCATTTCTTCATCGATAAGTATAAAATGAGATTATTAAGTAATAATACGTTATTCATATACCTACACCACTAATTCACTTTTATCCACCCAACTATTTTCTTCATCACTCAAACCTAACCATTTTACTAAAAGCTTATTTTCTTTTCTTTTAATGACTTTTTCAATAAGATAAAAGTCTGGAAATCTAGTTTTTTGTAGTTCGTAATCGTAAAAAGAGCCTAGAATTTTTTGATTGTGTTTGTCTTCTATTTGATAGGTTTGAGGATTGGTTTGGTTGACTTTAACGATACGAAATAATTTTGTAGACCAATTAGGGGTATAACTTTATTAAAATTTCCTCTGTATTTGCTTATACGAACGTAATCGCCAACGTGAAACGTTGGTCCTTGACGTATCTTAGGTTTTTAAGACTTCTTGATGGTTGACATTACTAAAATCGCATTTGAATCATTAACGTTGATACGCTTGAATTTTGTAATGCGATGTAAAGTATTATTATACCGCTTTACAACAAAATCTAAATTATTTTTGAACCATTGATATCGTCCGCATAGACTGAATATTTTGTAAAGCCGATTTTTTAAAGTTCTTATTACTCGTTCTACAATGGAGGCCTTTTTAACGGAGTACGTGGAATAATGATTTATATTATAATTTTTCATTAAATTCTTAAAAGAATCATTATAAAACTCTGTACCAAGATCTGTTTGTAAATTTTTAGGTTTTCGTCTTGATTCAGATAATAAACTTTACATCGCATTTTTGACACAATTTTTATGTATCGATTTCAATGGTCTAACCCAGTGATTCCCAAAGTGGTCAATATCGACCCCTAGGGGTCTATGACAACTTGCAAGGGGTCGTCAGCGAAAAAAAATTTGGGGGTCCATGAAATGAAAATGGGGGTCCACGATAGTGGATCTCAACACATACACTGATAGTACCTATTTACTTACATAATACTATCTCATAATATCAAAACATATACATTATTTATAAAAGTACCTACTCGTATGAAGTAAAAAATTTATTATATCCATACTAATATTATAAATGCGAAAGTAACTCTGTCTGTCTGTCTGTCTGTCTGTCTGCTCCTCTTTCACGCCTAAACGGCTGAACGGATTTTGATGAAATTTGGTATGGTGATAGATGATAACCTAGAAATGGTCATAGGCTATAAATAATCACGCCATCGTTCTTAGGGGGTAGGCAGTAGGCAGATAACTAAATTGAGTTAGTGATTTTTAGTCGTTTTTGTTGGGACTTTTGCTCTTTCACGTATAAAAGGCTGAACAGATCTGTAAGGTAATAGATGGTTACCTAAAAACGGATATAAGATCAAAATGATCACGTCATAGTACTTAGGGGGTAGGAAGTAGGCAGAAAACTGAATTGAGTTAGTGATTTTTTTATGGTTTTTGGTGGGAATTTTGCTCTATCATGCCTAAACGGCTGAACGGATTCTGATGAAATTTAGTTAGGTGATAGATAGTAACCTAGAAAAGGATATGGGCTATTAATATTCATGCTATCGTACTTAAGGCGTAGGCAGTAGGCAGAAAACTAATTAAGTTAGTGATTTTTAATAGTTTGGTTTAAAAGTTTACCTCATTCACGCCTTAACGTCTGAACGGATTTTTATAAGACTTGGTTAATATAAAGATAGGATCCTAGGCACGGACACAGGCTACTTCTTACGGCGGGAAAATACCTCATTCCCGCGGAAATCTAGCGTGATCGTGTCAAGAAGCGAATGACGCCATAGCTACTGAAATGATTTTGATGTTTTTTTTTAAATGAGTGTTACTAAGACTTAAAGTTAGTATTTGATCACTTTTCTAACTTAGAGGGTCGGTAGGCGCCATAATTTAGGGAATTTATTATAAAATTTTGATGCATCTGTCTTTATTTAACAGTTTTACTTGGATCGAAACTTAGCGACATACCATCACACTACTTAACTTATAGGGTAGGAAGGTACCAAAATTCAGACTACTTTTTACTTCGGGAAAATATCTCATTCCCACAGGAACCTATACACAGCTACCTATCTACAACATTAAAACTCTGTCTAGAATCACATTACGCCATAGCTATTGATCTGATTTGTATACGATTTTTTATTCAACTGACTGTTAAATTACATACAGATAAAATCTAATTACCTACACCACAGAATTAATATAGTACTACATAACTAGCTACGCTTTAAACTTGAGGAGGTAATTAGATAGACATTTATACGAACTTTATGCTCAGTAATCAATCATAGTGATAAGTTAATACTCATTTTAGACAAAGAAACGGATAGGTAATCAGTTCATCACCGAAATTATAACACCTACACTTAGTTTGTTTACTATTCAACGAGGGAAAATAATTCAATATAACGCAAACCTTCAAATCATACGTCGTCGTAGTGAATACAAGACGCTGCGCCGAGCGAAGAGGCGGTGCGGCGCGAGGGGAGGGCCGTGCCCAACTGTGCCTACCCAAGCGGGCAGACGCACGAGGGCAGACGTCGTCGTCGCACGTATGCGAATATTGAAATATTGCGTTACGAAACTCTATTCGTTGCGTATTTTTGGTTAGCTAAAAACGTTCTTTTTAAATTCAGAGTTGAAATAGGTACTACGGTCTACGCGTAGGGTCTGTAAGCTTTAATTTAGTCCTTTGTTTTAGATATCTAAATAAATATTTGGTAGGTTATTATTTTTGAGTCCAAGTTGACGTCATTTTCGTATTTTTATTAAGTACTTAGTTACATTTTTATTATTAGGTAGTTAAGGTAGCTGTTAGATGTAGGTATTTTCTTAACCAATCATTCATATCTCTAGGTTTACTCAGATACGTATTATTCTTTATTTTTGCAGTCGCTTTCATTTGTTAATTCTCAATTTTATTCATGTGTAGGTTAAGTGTTTTTTAGCTCACATCAGGATGTTTATAGTTCGTAGTAAATTAGTTTAGTAATAGATTTTGTCATTATATTATAGTACTTTTATGTTAGTTTTGATAGATAAGTAGGTAGTACCAGTAGTGAAGAAAATTGTGTATTGTGGTGTGGTACATAAATTCAATATTTTTGAATTTATTTAGTTAATTTAGGTTTTAGGTATAAAAGGTTTGTCAGGTGCATAGTTGTTTCGGTTCAATACGTTATTGATTGATTTAGATATTTAGGTTATAAGTAAAAAAGTTTGCTTTATCGAAGTTTTTATAAAAAAATTGTCTTACGTTGTAGTTTTTAAAACTACCGATTTTACAAATCTTTAATTATTGTTTTATTGTTTTCGATATGCCACGCAAACGTAAATCCAATCTAAGCCGTAGTTCTAGCAGAGCTCGAACTGCAAAAGTTGCTAGAAGCCAAGAATCTGAAGAGCAGACTCAGACGCGTCAGATGTTAGATTCTCAGCGTCATGCGACTCAAAGAGCTTCTGAGACCTATACGCAGACTCAAGCCCGTAGGACCTTAGATGCTGAGCGCCACGCATCTCAAAGGGCCTCTGAGACGTTTACACAGACTCAAGCCCGTCAGGCCCTAGATGCTGAACGCCACGCATCTCAAAGAGCCTCTGAGACGTTTACGCAGACTGAGACCCGTCAGGCCCTGGATGCTGAACGCCACGCATCTCAAAGGGCCTCTGAGACCTATACGCAGACTCAAGCCCGACAAACCTTAGATGCTGAGCGCCACGCATTTCAAAGGGCCTCTGAGACGTTTACGCAGACTCAGGCCCGTCAGACCCTGGATGCTGAACGCCACGCATCTCAAAGAGCTGCTGAGATAGTGGAACAGACTCAGACACGTCGAGTTTTAGATGCCGAACGTCACGCGCAATTGATTGCGGCAGAGACTGACGAAGATTCACAAAGACGACGTCTTTTAAATGCTGAACGGCAGGCAGAAAGAAGACGTACGTTTTCAATGAGTACGTGGGAGGCATTTAATGGTGCCGCTTTTGAGTATGACCCTTTGATCGACTATGTTAATCACCGATTGGTTATCATTGGGAGAATGGATAAAAAATGCAGATATTGTGAAGCACTGAAATGGAAAGAAGAAACTCCAGGTATGTGCTGTTCTGGTGGAAAGGTTAAAATTCCATTACTTGGCGAACCAGAGGAACCTCTTAAATCTTTACTTTTATACGACAGTAACGAATCGCGCCGGTTTTTAAGCAGGATTAGAAAGTATAATTCTTGCTTTCAGATGACGTCATTTGGTGTAGATAAGGAGGTCGTAATGCCTGGATTTTCACCTACTTTTACCATCCAAGGACAGGTGTATCACAGGATTGGTTCCTTACTTCCCGCAAATAATGAACAACCAAAGTTTTTGCAACTTTATTTCATGGGCGATGAAAAAAAACGAAGCTGATCGCAGGTGTCAAAATATACAAGGAATCGAAAGGGATACTGTTTTAAAAATCCAGAGAATGTTGCATGAACATAATCGCCTTATCAATACTTTCAAAACAGCACTAGAAAGAATGCCGGGAGAGGATTATAGGTTGGTGATGCACCCCGATCGCACACCAAGTGGGGAACATGAAAGGCGGTATAATGCACCGTTAATAAATGAAGTCGCAGCCTTGGTTACAGGCGAAC